GGGGGGGGGGGGGTTCGGGATTGGTGCTTGGTTTTGGCGAGCCGGCCCGGGTCCAGGCCTAACAGCCATTTTTAATTTTTTTTTTCCCTTTAAAATTCTAAAGAGCCGTTTGGCTCTCTTGACCCACATCCCAAACGGCTATATAGACGTTGGGTGGTACGGGGGGTTAAAAAAACCTATAAATACTCCTAATTTTAAACATTTTTTCACACCTCTTCTCCAACTCTTCCTAAATCCTACTCTCTACTCATCTCCATATTCATCTTCTCAAATTCTCTTATTCTCCATTATATTTTATTTTACTATTTAATACTTATACAATTATTATATCTACTTATATATTAATTATCTACTTATAAATACATATACTATATTACTTATCTACTTAATCTCTACTTATATCTACTTAATACATACATACTACATCTACTTAATATGTAAAGATATCTATTATCTACATCTACCATTTTAAAGATGGAAAGTAAATCTTCCCTTATGCAAAACAATTTTGATATGTGGAAGGACCCGAAGACCAGGCTGTGGTGGGCAACTTGCAAGTGGTGCAAGAACGAGTGTAGTTTGGGGTGTTCACACGAATACGGGATGCCCATAAAACATATAAAGTTCTGTGACAAAGGCAAAACAACAACAAACGGTGGCGGAAATTCCGATTGATATTTATTAGAAAAAGTATTTCATATTGTAATTTTTTCTCAATTATCAAATGTAGTTCCTATTTCAAATAAATGCACTTGAACTTTGTTTTTAATAAGAATTTGTATAAACTATAATTTAAAAACAAAATTAAACATGACCCGGCCTGGCCCAGCGGGTAGCCCGGCCCGTGACCCGGGCGGGTGGCCCGGCCCGAACCGGAACCGTCCGAGGGACGGGCCGGTCTCAGGCCCACGTATACGGAACCGGCGGCCCAGCCGGGCCCGGCCCGGGCCCGAGTCTAGCACTACAAACAGGGGTGGATTTGGGCCGGGTCAGGCCTAGGCCCAGCGGGCTGTTGGATATTAAGTGGTAGGCCCGGGACCGGCCCGGGTATCCACCGGGTCCGGTCCGGGTTCGGGCCGGGCCGGGCCTGTTATAATTTTTTTTATTCTTTCCTAACTACTCCCTGACTCCCCCCCTCACCCCCACCCCCAAACCGGGTCCAAACACCCTGGTGACTCAGCCCAACCCGGAAGGAAGCAAAAATAAACTGAAAAAAAAAAAAGAGAATTTAGGCCTGAACTGGGCCCGGGTCGGGCTGGTTCGGATTTTACCTAGCCCGTACCCGCCCAGGATAACCCCCCTAACTGGGCCTAGACCCGAAACCGGTACCCGGTTCCCGGGCCGGGTGGTCCGAACCGGGTCCAAGCCTAATACCAAAGTACCAAACAACGACCACCAGTTCTGACATGAAAACCAAAAATTAAAACTAGAAACGGAGTTCTAAACAAACGTATAATAAAGACATGCAAAAACATTCAAAAGTATGTTTTTGAAGTTACGACGCATCTCCTTCCTTTTCATCTATGCGGCTCCACCTCCACAAATACCCCATCGCAAATATTGAAGAAAAAATCGGAAGTATGGCATTTGATGATTATCTTTTGCCCTTTTGCCATTGTACTGCTGCTGGGATCATATCCACCCAATCACGAAAAACCTCATTCAAAATCCTAACTATTAGAGTCCAAACGAACATCCTATCCCTCTTGAGCTCACCTTGTAGGAAGGAGGTGCCACAAGGGAGAGGTCCCCGATTCAATTCCAAACAATGACTTAGGATGTAATCTCACTCTCCTTCTATCTGAAATCAAAACTCAATTTACATCCTCCCGAATAACTGTCCAGTTCCAGTCGGTTCTGGGAACATCAGGTATGTGGTGTCCCTTTTTTTGATCCATAACCCCAGTCACTCCATGTGAGCATTCTGCCCGAGCCATGCTCCCTCCAGCCCCGCTGTAGTCCATTAAACTTCATCGGAGTTAAGCAACACGAATAGAACCCCATGTGCCATGACTAGAAGAACAAAAGATCAACTGATCAACACAACCACCAAGATCGGCAAGCAATCGTAGAGGGTTAACCTTCGAATGAAAGAACACCAACTCATCGAACCAGAAGATCAGAATAATCCTAACCCTAACGTGACATAATCCTTGAAAAGTTGAAATCAAACCAGGCCCTAGACTTGGATGCTAGGCCTTTCCGCTTCTAAAGAAACATTAACTGCCTCATGATCTATTTATACTGAAACATAACAACAACAATAATAATAAAATACTTGCTATTACTCGTTCCATTCTAAAATATAGTTTTTGTTTGGGTTTTCGCATGTACTGTTGCAATGAAAAATGTGTGGGAGTGCTTGGGGGTCATCTTTAGTATTTTGGAGGCCCCAGATAAAAAACATTTAATATTCACATATCACATTAATGTGATAGCACAGGGTCATAGAAAATAAGATAAAATAAACTTTTAATATCAATTTGAGGAAGAAAAATTTGTGTTTACAATCGATCCATAGAGTCGTCAATCAATTTAATAACCAAATCTCTTCTCAATATATTCTTTCTCTTTGTGCATTCAGAATCAAATTTTCGTATCTCCGTCATGACAATACTTACATATTTGTCATATTTATAGATAATAATTAATAGAAAAACCATCAACAAAAAAAAAATTACAATTACAAATATAAAATATTAGTAGCCAAATAACTAAATGCCCAATACCATTACAATTATAAAATATTAGTGCAAAACATAAATGACTAATAGTGAGTAGCAATTGTTACAAACTTGCAATCAAAGTGGTAATTGGAACCGGAATATTAAATTTATAAGGACTGAAGATCGGACCTGAAATTAACTGGTCCAGTCCGGCCCGGACCTGGTTTTTCCGGCCTAATCCAGTTTTGACCCAAATTGACCCGATTTGTAATCAGACATACGATCTTACTGTTGTTTCAAAGTTCAAACTATAATATGATGTATGATGTGGAGATCTGCTAAGTAGGCTAAATAATTATAGAATCCATTTATCAATTTTGACATATATAAATGTATAATCATCAAAAGTAACAATTGGTTTCTCACAAAATAAAAAATAAATCATATGTCCTAAAATATATAACGTATAAAGTATAACCTACATCCATAGTGAACATGGAACACTTGAAGTCCTGTACTTGGGGGTGGACTGGGACGGGACGGGTCGGCCCGACCCGAGACCCGGTCTGACCTGCTACTGTACAAGTTCGACCTGGCCCGGGACCAAGCCCGGGGCCCTACCCAGATGAAGAAGGAGGCAGTACTGGGTTTTGAATTTAGGGGACCGGCCCATCCGGTCCGGGCCCTCCGGGCCTAAAGGTCAAGAATTCCCCCAAAAAATTTGGACTTGGAATTGTGTGGCCCAACCTGACCCAGTCCCTTCTCGAAGCCCACCCTACTAGTCCGTCCCGACTCGAAACCTATACAAACCCGAGTCTGTACCGAACTTGATAATTTGGACCCATAACCCACCCAGTCTTGGCACAAAGCCCAGCCTGGACCTGGCCCAGTCTATCCACCTCTACCAGCACTCTTGAAGATTAAGAACCAAATAAAAAGCACCTTTGGAAAATCAAACAAATATACTCCGTATAAACTACATAACTACATCATAGGTAGGGATGGACTGGGCCGGGCCGAACCGGCCCGGAACCGGACCGGCCCGCTACTGTGCGGGCCCGGACCGGACCGGGCCCGGTTGGCCGGTTCCGGGCTTTTAGCCCGTTTTGGCGGGTCGGGCGGGCCGGTTCCGGGCCCTGTTTTTGTTGAACCGGCCCGGGCGGTTCGGGCCGGGCCCGGTTCATTTTTTTTTTTTTTTTTTTGGTTTTTTCAATTTTTTTTCTTTTCCTAGGGTAGGGCTGGGTGTTTTAGGGAGGTTTGGGGCGTGGGGGTGAGGGGGGGGGGGGTAGGGAGATAACAAGAAAGTCAAAAAAAAAAAAAAAAAAAAAAAACATTGAACCGGGCCCGGCCCGGCCCGGCCCGGTTAGGCCCGGACCCGGTATCAACCCGGGCCGGTTCCGGGCCCATGTAACCCGAAAAAAAGCCCGCCCGGGCCCGGCCCGGAACCGGAACCGGCCCGGCCCGGGTCCATCCCTAATCATAGGTGTATGTTGGCAGGGTAAAAACTAGCAAGCTAGTAGCGCATGTTACCATGCGTTTTGCTAGGTGTACACATTTTTGTGTACACTTGTCTTCTCACGCACAAAAAATTATTTGTCCACATACAATTCTACAACGTTGTCTGTGGACAGACAATTCTTTGTGCGTGAGACAGACGAATGTACAAAATGTGTACACAAAACATTTTTTCATGTTACCATAATTCACTCTGTATATATCTATCTAAGACCAAAGTAAACCGTAAACATAATAAGTAAGATACGAAACAAAGTATACATCGAGGTAAGGGTCAGATTGGTACTCGAACTTGCATAAAAAGGGTCAAATAAGTCCTTATATAGGAGGCTCTGTCCGGCCATCACCATTTGGGGCGGTTCCTGGTGGAATTTTTTAACGAAATTTTTTGAGCATCTTATTCATTAAGTCTAGTTTACTCATACCAAATTTCAGATAAAAATTCAACCGGGAAGGCATTCAAATGAATTCTTAAAGATAACTGCGCAGTTAAAATCACAGTTATCTTCAAGAATTCATTTGAACGCTTTCCTGATTGAAGGTTTAGCTGAAATTTGGTATGAGTAAACTAGACTTAATGAATACGATGCTAAAAAAATTTCATCAAAAAATTCCACCAAGAATCGCCTCAAATGGCGACGACCGAACAGTAAAGACTTAATTGACCTTTTTATGCGGGTTTGACCCAGACTGGACGAAACCCGGAATTTTAAAAATCTAAGGACCAAAACCAGACCTGTTAATACTGCACACCCCTATGGTGCTGTTCAAAAAAAGAAAATACACTCGTAGCGTTACTCCAAACAGATTGGATAGAACTTTGGTTTGCATGAGTTCAATAGCATAATCGATTAATCATCCCACATTAGTATTAGTCTGTACGTAATATATTCAGTGTTTTACAAAATCAGAAAATACGAATATCATCCCTTAGGCAATTGTACTGCTTTCTTCAAAATGAGTCCTTTCTACAAATTTTGTAGAAAACATTGTTAAATACTTAAATTGAAAGGCAAAACCACAGAGCAACTGCAACTTCATAGAACTATACACAAACACACATATAAAAGTTTTAATATACAATGCTCGGAGCAGTGTTATCCGGCAAAGGAAAACAAAACCTTCTCAATGGGATTGTTTTTTGTTTAAGCAGGAGCTGGACATAGACAATCAGGAGCAGGATAAGTGTATATTGATTGGTTTTGTTTGCGGAACTGGAGTTGCCCTTGTCTATTCCTGTGACCCTGCAGCACGGCTTGCTGGAACTCTGCCCATCCCAAGCTCTTATTTAGGAACAGCTTGCCCAAAAGTTTCATGTTCGGTCTGATGGTCTTCAGGTTCTTGAATGCACGATGCCCCACCTAAGGATTTTTTTACATCATCAATTGATTGAAGTTTGTAAGGCACATTCTTAAAGCACATCAATTTCATAATTCAAACTTAATCTTTTAAGGAAAATGTTTCCACTTTGCTCTTGACTTTAACTTGTTCCACTAATGATGAACTGGTATGAAATTTCTACCACTTACATTACTCATCCAGCCTACTTCAAGTTGGTTTTCAATGGAAAATCACTTAAAGTGGAAAGAAATCCAGCGGTAGACCAGAAGTAGAGAAAATACAAGCCGTGCAGCAATAATGAAATAAATGGATGACAGAGACCAAACATGTGAATGACCTCATAGGCATGCAACCAAATATAAATGCTCTTTTTAAAGACAAAGTAGGATCTCTAGAGCATTCCCTATATATTCATTATTCAAGGGCTTATTTGTATTGATTTTGTGGTAAATTGGTTATAATTAAATGTCTGGAGATGTTATTATGTTAATAGCGCATTTGGAATTAAGCCAGCTCACCCAACTCTAGGAAACTGAGCAAATCCCTATGAGCAGTACTGCAGTGGAGGCATTTGATGCCTCCAACTTCAGGAATTGGGAAATCCTGGGAGTTTATGGAATTCTGATTCCAAACAACATAATTGGGAAAACTGTCAAATAGGTCCTCGAACTTTCATAAAAAAGTCAATTAAGTCCTTCTATAGGAGGTTCTGTCCGGCCGTCGCGATTTGGGGTAGTTCCCGGTGGAATTTTTTGATGAAAATTTTTAAGCATCTTATTCACCAAGTCTAGTTTACTCATACCAAATTTCAGCTAAAAATTCAATCGGGAACACATTCAAATTAATTCGTGAAGATAACTGCGCATTTTTGCGTTATCGAATTAATTTGAATGCGCTCCCGATTGAATTTTTTGCTGAAATTAGGTATGAGTAAACTAGGCTTGATGAATAAGATGCTCAAAAAAATTCATCAAAAAATTCCACCGGGAAGCGCCCCAAATCACGACGACCGGACAGAGTCTCCTATAGAAGGACTTAATTGACTTTTTTATGAATGTTCGAGGACCTATTTGACAGTTTTCCCCAACATAATTTAAAGAATATGAAATCCATGAGAACAGAGTGACTATGCAAATGAGGCATTTTGACACCCAATAGTTTAAGAGTGAATGGTCTTACCAGTGCATTGTGCATGTTGCCTGGAGAAGCAGAGATGAATATGTCACTGTGCAAGCTCACATGATAATCCAAAGCGGCTAATAAAGAAGCTTTTCCTTCAACCCCAGCCAATTCCTCTGAAGATGCAAGGCTTCTTTTATCCTGCATTAGTGGGAACAACTGTCGAAGTGCTGAGATCCTTGCTTCTCCCCCATAAACCTGGTAAGAAAGAAAACAAGCAAAAAGATAATGCTTACGGAGTATTTATTTAGTGAGCACCCTTAAAAGTCCCGTAGCTTGAACCATTCACACATTTGGACCTATAATTCATTATTATTTGCTCAATCTATGGATTTCTGGCAAAAATTAAAATAGAAATGTCACTACATTGCTTAATTTGGTCATTTTCGATTAAATTGAGCATGTGTGGGCAATAATTCAAAAAATACTTCCTCCGTTCTTTTTTAATTGCAACACTCCTATTTTCACACTTGCCAATGCACAACTTTGACCATCATTATATTTAATTTCTCTACAACAACAACATCCAAGCTTTATTCACAAAAGATTTTGTGGACGGCTAACATGAATTGATCAATGATATCAGAGCCAAAAAGAGAAGAAAGATTTGAAAAATAAAAAGATAAGGTAAGATAAAAATAGATACAATAAAGATAAATATAAGATAAAAATAACATAAGAACACAAGATAGACAAAGGATAGAAAGATAAAAGAACATACAACAACAACATCCAAGATTCCAAGCCTTATTCCAAAAAGGTTTTGGGGCCGGCTAACATGAATCAATCCACGATATCATAGCCAATTATATTGAATTCTATATTAGAAAAAAATCAGATTATGAAAATTTATATTGAGACGAATCAACAATATTTTTCAAAAAATAATAATTATTATACATTAATAAATAAAATGTAGTCAAAGTAGAGCATGTAAATAGTGTAAAATTTTCCATGTTGCGACCAAAAGAAACAGAGGATAGTATGTAATTTTGATGTTTACACTATTTATTCAAAAAGAAAAATAAATAATAAACAAACAAAAAGAAGATGGGCGGAAATGGACCAAATCGGAGAACATGTGATCCAGAAATGATGATGTCTGGTGTCATTTTGATTATTACGATATGAAAATCCTCATATTAGGCAAACATAGTGAACTGGAGACCAAATATATAATAGTCATAGCAACCGAACCATTTGGGTACTTCAAAGATTATCAGACCAAATATGCAAAGAAGATCAAGAAGAGAGAGTGATAACATGTAAAGTGCGATGAGGAATAGACAAACATACAGACCTTGTGGGAAGCAAGATAAAGGCGTGTACTATTGTTGAAACCCAAGGCGGCCAACAGTAGTCCAATCTCTTCAGGAGTCAATGGGCACCGACCTTGGTTTCTTAATTCCTCATCAGTGAACTGAGATTTGACAACCTTTCCTTGCCAAATCAATTGGCGATATTTTGCTAGAGCAAGCTTCTCAGCTTTACCTCCGCCGAAATCACAAGCTGAGTGAGCTGCCATATCCTGTTCCAAGGACGGACCCAGCAAAGTTAGTGTACTAAAATCTGAATAAGTCAAGCTTATGGGAGAGCACTTGGATCCAGTTATGTTCGAAAACAGTCAAGCATACACCATAAATGTTTATAGGCCTAAGTGTTATACTGTTATGTGGTGTTCATGATGTGAACTAACAATTTGCAAAAAGGTCACCCTTGATTTGTAATTTGCAAGTGCAGCGTATATATAATATATCCAAATGAAATTCAATATGATCCATGTATATGCCCCCCTCAGCAAATGTAATGTTTTGGGTACTTGTAAAGTAATGTTTTACTTTGTCATTATCCCTGTAGGTTTACACCACTTTCATTTTAGTCTCTCTTCATCAACCTTGAAATGAAAGTGGGAATAGCGAGTCTTAGCCCTTGTTTTAAATAGTCGCCGGTGAGTTACATAAGCTTGGCACACAAAGGCCTAAATGGTTTTAGGCCTTTGTTTTGGACGTTCTCTGTGCCAAGCCAGATTTTTTTTTTTTGCATGGAGGACGAGAGGGACTAAAAAGAATACAGTAAATAGCTGGGACAAAAAAATAAATAGCCTTTTCTTCAAAAGCCAAGGAGAAGATGTACAAATGCACACACACAATTACTTAAGACCACCTTTATCTACCTCCATTTTTGTGGTTGAGAAATGATAAGCCAGCAAGGTACAGGGGTCATACTTTGTCAAAACGAAGATGCAAAACGACATATTTTCCAACTCCGGGTATGTAATTGTCTCCTCTTTCAAATATGGAGGTTGACGTTCCATCCATGATATGAGGTCTGCTTCTCAACCGACTGACAAGTAAATCTCCTAAAGTCCTGATATGTGGAACATAAACCAGTGCCTGAAAGTTGACTTTACAACGCAGATGCTGGATTTCAGAAGGCAGGCCATCAAATGCTAACCGATGAGAGAACGGAGCTACAGCAACAATACCATGTCTACAACATATAGGAAAATAAACAGGTATGAAATTTGTTTAAAAAAACTAGGAAGTTTGAAATCAGATATACGGTGCATGCTTTATGCACCACAAACACTATTTTTTTTATGCAACACATTTATTGGCTTGTCATCCTTTAATTGCATTGTCAAAGCCCGGAAAACATGAAGCAAGTCATAACTTAAGGGTATGTATGAATCTTGGAAATTGATGGGGAAAGAGGGAAGACATTAAGGAAAGTTATTTTCTTATGATTTTCTTATGTTTTGTTTGAACTTAATAACTTATACATAACTTGGGTATCGATGAATATCTATAATAAATTTATAGGCTCTTTACCCCTCCACATTTTCTTTCCTTCCAAATTTTCCCTAAACTGTTCTTCATATCCCCCCCCAGTATTTTCTGGGTTCTAATCAAGCTCTAGAAGAATAAAATATTCCATGTTTTTAGATGGAACATAGATGATAGGCTTCTATTCTTGTCCCAAAAAGTGCTCAAAAGTATAATACTTGCTGTAAATGACATTTTATGAACAAACCTCTGCATTACTGGCAAAACATTTTCAAGATACCAAGTAGCAGAAGCATGCACTGGTGCTGTTTTAATTCTAGTGTCTCGTATGCCTGTTGCATAGTACTCCCTGGTGCTCCAAGAAAAGTCACTTGGTAGCTCTTTAATTATGGTGACATCATCCCTCAATGTGTGGATAAAATGATTGATATCAAATATATCCTCAAATGCACTGCAAGGGGGAATACATTTTTTAAATACAGAAGTTAAGTTCTATGTCTGCTTAAGAGAAAAAAAATCAAGATTAGAAATGGAGGCATTATTAACCTTATGTCTTGCCATACTGGATTTATTTCAAGGTATGGGATTATGAGGGTTGCATTTAAAATTTTGGCCACAGCTACCGCGTCACAAATCTATGGACAATATATAAAGAAGTATAAGAAAACCATATGAGTTCCAGCAGCTGCATTTCAGGACAGGAATTCTAGGGCTGTTTGATTATCTGGCCTATTCTGCAGAGTAAGTAACTTTTGACTAGCTTATGTGGCTGAAATGGATGTTACCAAACACTTTTTGTCTCAGAAAATCAACAAATTCAAGCACTCTGTTACGGATGCGTTTTGTGGAATTCCCTATCGCAGGAGGAAACATATGGGCCGGCAGGAAGTTTAATTGGAAGAGGAATCTATCCTGATGCTATTTTCATATTTTATTTTCTTTATTTATTTATTTATTTATTTATTTATTTATTTATTTATTTATTTATTTATTTATTTATTTATTTATTTATTTATTTATTTATTTATTTATTTATTTATTTATTTATTTATTTATTTATTTATTTATTTATTTATTTATTTATTTATTTATTTATTTATTTATTTATTTATTTATTTATTTATTTATTTATTTATTTATTTATTTATTTATTTATTTATTTATTTATTTATTTATTTATTTATTTATTATTTCCTATTATTAATAGAAGTATTAGAAGTTACAGTTTTAGTTAGAGTAGAACTCTATCGTGTAAAGGGCAGACTGCCTATTTACATTCTTTATTCAGCCTTAATAAAATCTATCGATCTTTAGAAATTGTTCGCAGAGAAGTCACGGACTCTCTCTCCTCCCTGCGCTCTTCCAGCCATGGGCAAGAAGAAGAGTCACCCTAGGCGGCAGGTTTTGCCCTCACCGACTCACCCTGCCACAACAAGTCGTCCTTGGACCCGTTCTCAATCCCAGAACCCTAACAATTTGGTATCAGAGCCGTCAAGATCCATGGCGCCACAACCGCAAGATGATTTAGCCACCATGATGAAGGAATTCATGGAGACAATGACCGCTAGGACATCCGCCATAGAAGAGCAGATTGCCGCTCTATCTCTGGCAGTCCACAAACGCGATTCGAAGTCAATAATAACGGAGGAAGATGAAGTGGATAACAGCCGAGTGCAAGACCATCCATTGCAGAAAACCACGAACCCCTGGAGACCACAATATGCGAAGATGGAATTCCCAGTATTCGATGGCAACTCTGACCCTATCAGCTGGTTGAAAAGGTGCGAAAAATTCTTCTTGAATCAAGAAACTCCTGGTGCTGCCAAGGTCAATGTTGTTGCATTCCACTTGATAGATGATGCACAACTCTGGTTTGACCAGATGATCGAGGAAGAAGGTGAAGTCAATTGGGATAGGTTTAAAGACCTTTGCCTGGAGCGTTTTGGGCCCCCTCTGAGTTCTAACCCGGTAGGTGATCTAAAGCTTTTAATGCAAACAGGGACAGTTGATGAATATTGTGCCCAATTTCAAAAAGCCTTAGCCAGAACTTCAGGAATACAACCCACACATCAGATTGCTTTATATGTCGCTGGTTTACAACCTCACTTGAGGGCGGATGTGGAGATGGCAAAACCAGGAAACCTGGGGTATGCAATGAACCTTGCGCGGACGTTAGAAGCAAAGCAGTCATTGACAATTGCACCTGTCAAAGGCTGGAGTGTTGCAACAGATGCAAAACAACGAAGCCCGCAACAACATAGACAAACACCCATGACAACTAAGGCAGGAAACCCGATTATTAAACGGCTCACGAAGGGTGAAATGGCAGAACGGCGAGCAAGAGGGCTCTGTTATAATTGTGATGAGCTGTGGTCGATGAATCACCGGTGCAAGAAGCTTTTCTTTATCGAGGTCGAAGATGAGAAGGAGGATGAGGATGGCTCACCAGACTTGGAGTTGTCTGCCAACGCTATAAGTAGTACAAAACACTCATCGACCATGCAGTTACTAGCAAGAATGAAAGGAAAAGAGTTGACAGTGTTGATTGACTCCGGAAGCACCCATAATTTCTTAAGAGAAGCGGTAGCATCATCTCTGAAGTTACCAATTCTCAGGAAGTCAGGGTTGCATGTGCGAGTGGCTAACGGTGAAAGGGTTCCAAGTCAAGGGGTATGCAAATTAGTTCCTTTCCTGGTTGACGGAGAGGAATATAGTGCAGATTTTTACACTATTCCGCTAGAGGGTTTTGATGCCATATTAGGTGTGTCCTGGTTGGCGACTCTAGGGCCCATATTATGGGACTTCTATGATAGAACGATGCGATTCGAAAGGGGGAGCAAGACAGTGATTTGGCGCGGACTGCATCCTACATTTGTTCCTCGTGTGGCACTGCTTCACAGCAACGACCCGGACACAGCTCAGTTGGACATCTTAATGAGGGAATATGAAGATTTATTTACTGAACCCAAGGGGCTGCCACCACAGAGAGAGTGTGATCACCGGATTACCCTAAAACCTGGAACTGGACCGGTGGTAGTGCGACCCTACCGGTACCCTTACTTCCAAAAAGACGAGATTGAAAGGCAATGTGAATTGATGCTTGACCAGAGGATAATCCAGCCAAGTAGATCACCGTTCTCTTCTCCAGTTCTACTTGTTAAGAAGCACGATAATTCTTGGCGGTTTTGTGTTGATTATCGAGAACTTAACAACAACACCGTCAAGGATAAATATCCTATTCCGGTAGTAGATGAATTGCTTGATGAACTTCATGGTGCAAAATATTTCACAAAACTGGATTTAAGATCAGGATATCATCAAGTCCGGATGCACCCCGAAGATGTGGAGAAGACGGCATTTCGTACCCATCATGGGCATTTCGAGTTCTTAGTTATGCCCTTTGGCTTAACTAATGCACCATCCACTTTTCAAAGTCTTATGAACAGCATCTTTCGCCCCTATTTACGCAAGTTCATCTTGGGTTTCTTTGACGATATTTTGGTTTACAGTAAAACATGGGTAGAACATCTTCATCACGTGCGACTTGTGTTTGAAATTCTTCGTCAAAACAACCTTTTCTTGAAGCAGTCCAAGTGCATGTTTGGAGAAACCCAAGTCTCGTACCTGGGACATGTCATAAATGAAAGGGGGGTAGAAGCTGATAGCTCAAAGGTGGGTTCAGTTAAAGCATGGCCAATTCCTCACTCAACAAAAACTCTAAGGGGTTTTTTGGGACTGACAGGCTATTACCGAAAATTCATACAGAATTACGGTGAGATTGCAGCCCCCCTAACTTCTCTTTTGAGGAAAAACTCATTTCAGTGGACTCCAGAAGCGCACCGTGCATTTGAGAAGCTAAAAGAATTACTCTCTTCGGCTCCCGTGCTGTCATTACCTGATTTCCAGAAAGAATTTGTGGTGGAGTGTGATGCATCTGGGATCGGGGTGGGGGCAGTGCTCCAGCAGGAAGGACACCCTATTGCCTTTTTCAGTAGGAAATTCCCAGAGAGGCATCAAAAGTTGGCAGCTTATGAAAGAGAGTTAATCGGCCTCGCTAAAGCCATCACTCATTGGAGACCATACCTCTGGGGTCGCCAATTTTTGGTCCGCACCGATCACTCCAGTTTAAAGTATCTCCTGGAGCAACGCTTGACAACCTGTCCGCAACAGCATTGGCTAAGCAAGCTGGTGGGATTTGATTTTCGTGTGGCATATAAACCGGGAAGATTAAATGCGGCTGCTGATGCCCTCTCACGCAGAGAGGACATTGAGATAGAATGTGTGGCAATCACTATTCCGATAACCACCTTGTTCGAAACAATTAAAAAGGAAGCAACTGGTTCGCCAGAATGGTCTGCAATGGAGGAAAAGGTCAAGCAAGGGAAACTAGGAGAGGACTGGAAGCTTGCAGAGGGGTTGCTGCTGTTTAAAGGGAGGGTTTTCCTCGACTCTGACTTTCCAATTATTCCTCAGATTATCTCTGAATTGCATGATATGGGGCACGAAGGCATAGAAAAAACTTTGCAGCGTATTCATCGTGATTTTTATTGGCCCGGTATGAGAAAAATGGTGGGAGATTACATCAGATTGTGCCAGGTTTGTCAGAGAAATAAATGGGTAAATCTACACCCTGCAGGGCTGTTGCAGCCATTACCGGTACCCCAAAAAATTTGGGCAAATATCTCATTAGATTTCGTTGAAGGGCTGCCAAAAGTGAAGGGGAAATCAGTCCTGCTCGTGGTGGTGGACCGTTTTTCAAAATACGCTCACTTCATTCCCTTGTCCCATCCATATACCGCGCCATCAGTAGCAACAATTTTCTTCAATGAGATTGTCCGTTTGCATGGTCTGCCAGAAACAATAGTCTCTGATCGTGACAAGGTTTTCATGAGTACATTTTGGAGAGAATTGTTTCGTCTCTCTGGAACAAACCTCACCTTTTCGTCCGCTTACCATCCGCAGACTGACGGACAAACCGAGGTCGTTAATCGCACTATAGAGATGTACTTGCGATGCATGACAGGAGAGAAGCCAACAAAATGGGTGCAATGGATACCGTGGATTGAATTTTGTTACAATACTTCCTACCATACATCACTAGGAGAAACACCGTTTCGCTTGGTATATGGCCGAGAACCACCTCGGTTATTGGCTTATTCTGCAGGCTCCACACGACTGGAGGCAGTTGGTAAGGAACTCATTAATCGTGATGAGCTTGTAACCACCGCAAGAGAGCAGTTATTGTTGTCCCAATAGCGCATGAAGAGAGCATATGACAATAATCATCGGGACTTACAGTTTAATGTAGGTGATTGGGTGTGGCTGCGATTACAACCGTATCGACAACTCACAGTAGGTCGCTCTAAGCAACACAAACTGCTTCCAAAATTTTATGGGCCATTTAAAATATTAGCAAAGGTGGGCAGTGTGGCATATCAGTTGGAGTTACCACCAGGAAGCAAAATACACAACACATTTCATGTGTCTTTACTAAAGCCTCATCAAGGGAGTATTCCACCGGCACCAGGGCTGCTGCCCCCGCTGAAGGACGGCAAGGCCCTGCCAGTACCAGCCAATGTTCTGCACTTCCATTTAAACAGAGGTGAGAAGGAGCTGCTAGTCCATTGGCAAGGCCACACAGCTGAGGAGGCAACTTGGGAACCGTTTGACACTTTTATTGCTGCTTATCCAGGATTTGAGCTTGGGGACAAGCTCAGTTTTGAGGGAGGGAGTGATGTTACGGATGCGTTTTGTGGAATTCCCTATCGCAGGAGGAAACATATGGGCCGGCAGGAAGTTTAATTGGAAGAGGAATCTATCCTGATGCTATTTTCATATTTTATTTTATTTATTTATTTATTTATTTATTTATTTATTTATTTATTTATTTATTTATTTATTTATTTATTTATTTATTTATTTATTATTTCCTATTATTAATAGAAGTATTAGAAGTTACAGTTTTAGTTAGAGTAGAACTCTATCATGTAAAGGGCAGACTGCCTATTTATATTCTTTATTCAGCCTTAATAAAATCTATCGATCTTTAGAAATTGTTCGCAGAGAAGTCACGGACTCTCTCTCCTCCCTGCGCTCTTCCAGCCACGGGCAAGAAGAAGAGTCACCCTAGGCGGCAGGTTTTGCCCTCACCGACTCACCCTGCCACAGCAAGTCGTCCTTGGACCCGTTCTCAATCCCAGAACCCTAACACACTCCAACCAAATAACACTTATGAGACAGGCTCCAAGTCTCAAGAGTAACAATCTTCAGAAGTAGTGGATTGTGTGTCTGTGTATGTGTTTGTGCAATTGCTATATTGAAAGTTTCATCCATACCCCCATTCTCTGTTGGTTCAAGCCCCCATCAAGAAACACTTGTACATATGCCTGAGGCTTCCTTTGCAAAACTATATATGGTTCCATTAGACAGAGTTAGGACGTTCCCCATGGGTTGCAAAGGCAAAGCAAAAACAGGATATGAGATCAGCAAGACAGTTGCAAATACACTCACGTTGCTTGTTCTGTGTTGTAGCACAGGGTTTCCGCCCTTGATTAGGCAAGGGAGACCACATATCAGATTCTTGTTCATCGGACTTCAGGGGTTAGAAGTCAGCAAAACACAACAGATTCATCAACATAATTTACATAAATTTTCAAAAAATCCCAATGCTGTAAACAACAGAAAAGAACCTGAAGAAATATACTCACAATTGTGTGGTGTTGTATTGCTCCATTCAGTAAATGCAAGTGCATGGGCTTTGGAGCATTCCATTCCTACAGTTGCTCTGTTTAGAAAATGCAATTACTGTATAATAACATTTTTACGAAAGACACTCTTAGTATGAATGAATCATTTAACATCTAGAACTACATGCAATATGAATCAATTAACATCTGGAACTCCACATTGTGGGTAATAGATGTAAGGATCCAAACAAGAAATGAACTTCAAGAATCAGTTGGTTGGTTTTGCAAATAGGTAAAAAAAATGATATTACCTCACTCCAAAATATATAGGTCAAGTAAGAATTGATTTATATATCAACCTCTAAAGTCAACGAACACCTTATCCTTTTATATACACGAACTCATAAACATATTCCCTGGAAGACTGATGCTCAGAAGAACTAAGAAGAAAACTAAATGAATCAAGTTCAAGTAAACTTATTTTTCTAGGCATGACAAAAACAAATTCCACCTTTCAACCACAATTTACAGGCCAATAAAATTACCTTACAGTTCATATAGAACACAACAATGACGCCATGACGGGTATAGATGGAATCATGGAATCTTCTTCAAGGCAGCCAATCAAATGTTTCTTATTGTGGCATTTCCTTGACAAAATATTGACTGAAATCTAAGCTTTGGTTTTAAATTGTGGTTGGGGATGTGTGATATTGGCTGATGAGGCGTGAATTAATTTTATGTACCCACAAAATAAGAAGAAGAAAATTGTTATTCTCTTTACATATATCTTCCATTAATAGTGTTGTATATATGGGGTTTTTCCAAATATATTACTAAAATAAAACTTATTTACACAAATATGACTAATTAAATGTAGTGTCATGGTAACTTAAGTTTAAAATTGAACATAAGTTACTATGATTTCATTACTACTCTATTCACTAGTCAAATTTTTGTAAACAATCTTTATTTTTGTCATAAATATGTAATTCTTTCTAAATCTATTCATTTTAAAGATATTACATTATCTTTACGAATAAGTAAAAACAGTAATGTCAAAAAATAATTATTTGATGCGTTTATATTATGATGGGCCTGTTTGTTATACTTTTTCTTAATGATGAGCCTTATTTCAATCATGTTTATTCCGTTTTGTATTACGGAAATACGGAGTACTCTGTATTAGACAATGGGAAATACAAAGCCTATTTTTCTAGAGTAACTAAAAGAATGAAGACCCAATCTTGAACTAAAATAAAAAAATAAACTAACTTATTTTCCCTTCATTGACAACTATTATTAAAAGCATGACCTAAACCAATTTATTTTTTCTTTCAGTTACAATTTCTTGAGAATGTACTACCCACAATTGCTCTTATGTGATTTAGTATGTCCCCAGAAATAATTCTTTAATCTGCAGGCAGTAAAACTTCTGAAAGATGACCATCCATACCAATCTTATTTTATGATTAAGCTGGAGAGAGAGAGAAAGATCAGCTTACGGAAAACAGGGAAGTGTAAGTTCGGCCCAGCGGAGAGAAGAGGCTGGGGAAGAAATTGGGTACGAGTATCATCAAAAGCGCCCCTAATTGCAATGGATGTGGAAACGCTGATCTCCCTCGACCCTGCCGGGAAATGCTGCCACTCGGCATTCTTCAAGCGCCGTCGATTGTGTATGCGGTGCGGTGTCTTCTGCTTTTCTTTCTTTAGCTGCGTAAGCTATGCTGAAGAGAGAGGCAATTCAAAACTATGATTGGAACATATGCCCACCTGCCCGCGATCGGCGCTCAAGCGATGACGGACTGCAAGCGATCGGCGCCCATCTGTAGCAATTCGAAATTCAAAAGCGATCGGAGTACAGCCACAAATATTAATTTAATAAATAATTTATTTTATCATTCCTATTATATCCTTATGGTGTACCTAAAGAGCCGTAGTCCATATCTATCAAGAGACTTGATAGATAGGGTAAATTCGGATGATGAATTAACTGTGTGAAATTCGGATGATGAATTAACTGTGTTAAAAAAGAAACTGAATAAGAAAATTACACAAAGAAATATTCTTCTGAGATGTCTCGGAGTACTCAGATGCAAGGACATCTTTGGGGAGCATTAAAATGTGTATCCATACGATATGGAATTAAGAAATTACAGATCATTGATGTTCGTAGTGGATGACCTTGTGTCTGTTGACATGCAATTGAACAAAAAAATTGGGACTAACTATTGAATCGAAGCATATAATCTCAAAGCTTCATTGCAGTATCATCGATCCTGAGTTTGGGGCTCTTTTAACGAAGGTTGATACGGCACGGAGGGCTAGCGGTAGGCCGGTAGCCTGTAGGGATAACTTAGGTATTTGAAATTATTTTTATTAATTGAGATATAATTTAGTGACTTGAATAGCAATTTGAAGGCTGTGAATAAAATTATCCTTTGGATTTGGGCACAACGAAGGATCTTCACTGACTCGGGCCTAGAGCTCTTTTTTAGGATGGATTATTCTTAGGAGAATTCTATTTACATTCCACCATTTACTAATTACAACCATCTAATTTTATAATTGCTATTATACCCTCTAATATCCGAAGGTCATAATCACTGTCATATGCGTGTGTATACATACGTATAGTGGATATATGACTCTCCGCTCCAAATTAACCGAAGTGAAGAGAGATCATCCCCTGTATGCCTACAATTTCTGTAGAGCTGAAGAGATGATCTATTGTCAAAGTCAGATGCTTTGCCAACCCCTCGGAGCTCGATTCCAGCCATCCTCTGTTTCAGCCCCTTGTCACAGAGAACTTCTCCTAAAGAAGCCTCCATCTTCAAGATCCCACTAGTTTCATCACAAAATTCAGCTTTAGGACCCTCCAGCTTCCCTTTCTCAAAAAATATGGGAAAAAGGGCAAATTAGCCCACCATGGTACGAGTGAAAGTGCAAATAAGACACTAACCTTTTTTAAGTGTAAATAACATTAAATTGAATACACATATGGCATTCTAGCCACCCACTAACAACAACAAACATTTTACAAACGGATCTTGGATCATTGTCCCGAATTCTTTTTTAAGCAACAACCGAAAGGGCTCAAGCATTCACCTATTCTAGCTACCTTCCATTAGAATTTACTAAACCCACTTTTCCACTCAATAATGGCTGGAAATTGCATCAGATTTTAGGTATGTACGCGCATGCACAAATCCCTATTAGCACTACACATTTTAACTTTGTATGTGCTAACTAACACAATTGTCCTTCAACACGATACAGACACATGCTTCTTTTTGTAATATTGACTCATCCTAGTATGCCTCTATTTATAAAAGGTCTTCCGCTAAACCAATTAAAAACTTGTAATTTATACAGAGTAGCTTATAGCTTATAGGTGATAAGCTACTTGTGATCATATAGTGTTTGGTAAAAACAGTTCCTAAACACGAATTGCAGAAAACATTGAAGTGTTAAAATTATTGCCGCATCTGAATTACAGAAAACATCAAAATCAAAAACTTCAAAAAATTACTGAATAATACTACATACATAAGACAATTCCTAACATAAACTCATTTTTTATTGCAGATTTGCATGCCTGAATTGTATGCAGTATTTATTAAAATATACTTTCCTCTATTTTTTGTATACTTTTAGTTCTTAGATCCCACTAGCTCTCTACTTTGGGTAACTTGCTATGTGTGATTTCACATGTTAATCATATGTCTATTCTACAATTAAGGCATTTATTTTTTAAGGTTTTCAATATACAGAAAGCCCAAGTTGGTTACATATGTTTTCAAGCGGCAAAAATAATTCTCTTTTTAAAGTTTGGATCCCACCGTTGAGTTATTTTTTCTGAATTCTTTTCTTAACGTCAATTTTTTAACGCCGGAAGGCATGTTTTTGTTAGTGGGTGGCTAGAATGCCATTTATATACTCAATTTAATGTTATTTGCACCTAAAAAAAGGTTAGTGTCTTATTTGCCCCTTTTCTCCAATAAATATATATGTATGTGGCATGATTTTCAACATTATTCATCTTTCAGCATTATTCATCTTCTAATGGTTGCTGAAGCTTTCTGGTCTACTTTGCGCATGAGTGTCCCAAATTGTGGGTTCATAGTACCTATGAAGAGTTTGTGAATTGCAGATGTTGAAGTTGACTAAACTAGGTCAATAGCTCCCTGGTTGTTATACCTCTTCAAGGAGAGGCGAGAGTATGAGAAAAGGATACAACCAGTGTTAAATTTCATCCTGGCTATAAATGAATGGAAAGAAAGGAGAGAAAGGTATCTAGCTTTGGTTTCTTTGGCACGCTCACTTTGCAGGAATACAACTTTGTTATTTCCTCTCCACCTACCAAGTGATTCCTTGTTTGTAGCCTGTACTTGGATTTGATCTTCAAGGCATTTTTTTTAACTTTTAAATGATCCGTCATCCGTATGCCTGTGTCGGCTATTTCGTTGGGGCATAAGGATATTTTAGATATTTAACTTAATTTTGTGGTTGTGAATACCAATTTGGTGGCTTTGGAATAGTAAAACCAGCGACGACACACCGATGACAATTAAGAAGACAAAAATGCGAGACCCAAGGGCCAAGAGAGGCATTCTAGGAGGAGGTCGTTGGGAAGGGAAGAAATGGTGGTTTGGCAGAGCAAGTGGCGGTGAAAGGAGCGGAAAGAGAGTGAGGACCGGTGAATTGGATTGTTGGACAATTAATTCTACCATCAATTGATTAATCAATAGCAAAATCTAATCTCCTATCAATTCCTTTGTTTGAAACGATGAACTAATGTGGCACGATAGCCAATATTATACATTAACATATATCGTCCGCCGATTCATTGGCCCTCAATGAAAAGAGGAATCCACTCAACAGGTATGAAGAAAATAGGTGGGGGATGCGCATGGTCATGATGAGTCATTCTACATTCATGCAAAACTTGGATAAGATGAAATGTCAAAAGTGTGTTGTAGTCTTGAGATGAACACATAGCTCATCTCCCCCCATATGTATTACACATATACTAATCGGTTTCGTTAAAGACTGAAAATGGGTGATGGGTGCTCTAGGCTACATAATAAGGATATAATAGGGATGATAAAATATGTGGATGTGTTTAGAAACTTAGTGGCTGCCAAATAGAACTTCCCTATTTTGCTAAATAGCTGCAAGACATGTGCCTTAGCTTAATTAATTATATGCTTTGGTTGCACAACTAGGATGTAATTATGTGTAACATTGAGTTAATTTGGACTTTATTTGGACTGTTGGTTTAACAATTGAGCCGGAGCCTGTCCAGTTCTAGTTTTGGATTGTTAAAAATTTTCTCTCCCCATGCTTCTTTCCGTGAGGTGGAGGTGGGGGAGGGGGTTATACATTGGTTACTATTTTGGGTTATAATTTCTAGCTTAGATAGTTTTCTTTGAATTTTTTTGATACATTGTATGATGTTATTTTTGGGTGATTTTTTAGTATACTTAGTTTTCGTAAAAAAGAGGGATTTTTTTAAGTAAACATATATTGTGTATACATTGTTCTAATGTTGCGAAAAGTAGTGTAACATGAGAACGTAACATGACAATGAATAATAATTTGAAAACAAATAAATCTTACTCATGTGTAACATGAATCATTTAAAAAAAAGTAAATATGTCCACTTCTTATTTGATAAAATAATTTTAATTTGTGTATGAAATTAGTATCTCTAATTCTCTATCAGAGAACACGTTTGGTTTTAGATAAAATAACTTCATTTTCCATAAAAATGAACAAAAAATTTCTCAAATAAGAATAAAAATAATATGAAATTTCTAGGAGTATTATATTTATCATAAGTATGAATAATTATTGATATACTTGAAAAAACTCAACAATCATGACAATAATATTGTAACATCAATTGGTGCCGAATTGCCAATCACACCAAAAGATGACAATATAATTCTAGAATGGTGGTAACTTATTCCTATTTAGGGGGGAATTATTATACTCCTACTTTGTAATTTCTTTACTCATATGTTGGGAAAATTCTCAAATATCACTTACTCCGTATTGATTAGAAACAAATCACGTAAGTGGAAAACAAAAAAAATCAAAATTAAAAAAATTTACAATGGGGGTGACGATTTGAAGCAAAAAAAAAAAAAACAAAGCTGTAGCATCACTATGAGGAGAATAAATAAATTCTAGATGAATCGCAATTCTAAAATTCTAGATGTTGATGAGTTTTACTTTTCCAAAGAAATGAAAAAATTAAAAATGAGATTATATTTTTGGAACTAATAAAGCAAAATATATGTGAACGTACGTTCCAATTTGCATTGAAGATATCATTTGCAATTTAATCACATGTTTAGACAACCATGATCTTTATTCTTTACTACCTTCGTCCCATAATGTTTAGCCAAATCTCAAAATTTGGACCATGTTTTTTATTAGTATAATATTATGAAAGTTATAAATGTTATACTTTTATGAAAGTACTTTTAACAAAGAACATTTTCATATCATTTTTATATTATAAATAATTTCCAAAATATATATATTAATGGTCAAAGTTTTGGATTTGGCTAATCATTTTGGGACGGGGTAGCATTTTATAACTTAAAGTGTACCTCTGATTTGTGCGAAGGAAAAGATTAAGGAAGCAAATTACAAAAAATAGAAAAATGAAATAGAAAAATAAAATTTAAAAAATGGTGAAAGAGAGACATAGTTGATACTTGGGTGTGATACCTAAAGATGAACTATAAAATAAAGAGTGAGAGTCTGTGGTTTATTTGTGAGAGAGAAATTGATTTTGTAAATTATGAGTGAATTTAATGCATATGAGAGCAAAACATTATTGTTAATAGATTATCCCTCTATGTATATAGGGTTAGGACATTCACATATAATTTGATTATAATTTATTATTTCCTAAATAGAGAGTCATGTTTGTTACTTGAATTCAATAAATAAACAAGGACAATAAAAAGAGGTTAGAAATATGGATTGTATGAATATGAGAGATGAATATATTATAACTCATCAATTTGTGTTTAATGCACAAATAATGGGCGGGAAATAATATTGAAAGAGATTCTCCCTTTAGGCATATAGGATAGGATAGGATAGGATAGGGAGGTCTTGGTAGAGTGTTAATTTTTGATAGAGTTTTCTTAAATGATTCTAGATTTACGGGGCTAGCTCGAGTAGTCACATAATGAACACTTCGTCTCGATTCAATTAATATTGTTAACTTTAGTTTCTTATTGAGAATTTGGTGGCATTTGACTTATTAGTGGTGGTTCTCCTCACTCGCAATCAATAAGTTAAGAACTTAGTGAATTGTTTGATCC